AATAATCGGTAGAATAAGGCTCAGCTCCATAAAAACAAACACTGGGCAACATATTTGACATCATTCAGTTTGTAGGTTGTCATAAAATGCCACAACTGTCCAGATCAAGAGGAGCAATAGAGAGATTAGGAGCATATTTTTTTCAGATTATCTGCATTTCAGAAAAGTTTTGTTTCATATGATACATTGACCTTTCTAAGTTTGATTTGGCTCAAAGTGCACTTTAAAGCAGAGTGGAAGTTTGAGGTCTGTCCTTAGGATGTAAAGAGCTGCATGAGTAGAGCCTGAAGTGTGCCAGGAGGTACCTGACAGTGTGGTACAGCTTGGAAATCCTGTGCCAGGAGATGGCTGAATGTAACACTGCCTGGGAATATTGTCATGAAAGACTGAATGAGGAAGGATCACTGGGCTGTAAAGCAGTTTCCTATTGAATTCTTTTGGAATTCCGTATCCATATTCAACCTGCAACAAATATACGCAACTTTAAATTTGGGGCTTTGTTTAGACTTAATTTACAAATGGTAAAAATAAACAGAGCCGAGTTCCAGGCGCTGGAATTGATAGAAGAGTCTAGGAGGGAGAGCTGCCTCTTCCTTGCATGTCTGTTATCACCCAGGCACAACTTCAAATTGTCTGCACCGCGGAGCAGGACTCCTTGCAGGAGCTCTGATTACATCAGAGATGCACTGCAGAATTCAAAATACTGCAGAGGACACTGGGGGGGGAACGACACTTGCAGGAGAATTTTAGCATGTTACTCATGAGTTCTATTTCCTTCCCTCAGAAGGGCATCTTTAATAATTCTTCTCCCATTGCCTAGGAGCCTGGCATCCTTCCTGAGTTCTGGCTCAGAGTAAGGGCAGTACAGATTTCTAATTTGATTTCTTCACCAGACACAATGGAGATCATCTTGTGCAGGACAGGTTCTTGAAAATATGTTGTGTCTTGCTTGCCCATGCACAGCACAGCACAGCACACAGAGTCACCCAGGGCTGCAGCTATTCCGAGTTGCCGCAGGTTCTGGAAGGCAGAACAATTCCCAGGGTTGTATAATGTATCAGGGAACAGTCCTTGCCCCAGCAAGCTTACAAACAAAATAGAAAACAAGGCTCAGAGAGAAGTGATTTGCCCAGCATGAGAACACAGCAGCAGCAGGGGAGCCACAAAGCTGCACTGGGCTCCAGTGACTCCCAAGCATTCTGAGGGCAGAGTGCTGCCTCGGACAAGGAGGGATTTTACCACTGGGCCTTACCTAACCACAGCAGGGGATTTTACTGTGACAGCATATCCTTAAAGTTCATCTGGTTTAATTGCTGGGAAAATCGTTGCCATAGGCTAATGTGTTTGTCTGGCCTTAATTGCATGTGGTGTCTTTAACCCTTAATGCATTTCTCCTCAGCCCTCCCAGTGGCATCAGGCTGCAATGTAGGAGTAAAGCAGTTTGCTTGGGCTTCAAGCTCAATGGCAAGAAACCCTTCCATTAATTAGAGCTCTCCCTTCTTAAAGCAGTACTGACCATCATTCTGTAGAGGCACCTTCAAAAGGAGAACAAGAAACATGCAGAGAAGTGTATGGGTTAATTTTTCTCCTTCCTCCGTTCCTTCAAGTCAGGCCACTTTTTATATTGTCCTTTATCTCCTCCTACTCTTCCCTGTTAGATATGATGCTACGTGGATCTGAGGCAAAGAACATGTAAATAACCCATGTAGAGCATCAGCTCCTACGTGGGATCTGTAGGCTTGCCAGTTCTGGTGATGGAAAAAGAAGGAACCACCTTTTATAGCTGCAGTCACTCGGTGTGTCACTCAGGGGACTAATTTGTCCAATTCAGTGTCTTGCACAGGTTGGGAAGCTGGGAGCAAAGAGAGAGATTCTCTGTTCTTTGCTCTGTTGTTTCACAGTTGCTGCCTCAGGGTTACAGCATGTGTCTGACACACAGAGAACATTTACATTTCCCTCTCCCCATTTCTTCCCATTGTGTCAACAGTGGATGCGGTGGGAGATCAAACCAGTGACAGAGATGAGCTGCCTCCTCATTTTTCCTGGCTGAGATTCAGAGAAGTTGTTGCTAACCAACATCATCTGGTATTACAGAAGGGAAGATGGTTAACAGCTCCCATTTAGCCATAGACTTATATCAGTCATCATCTTAATTCTCTCTGGGCCAGCCCTGCCTTGGGCACGGCTGAGGCAGAGGGGAGAGCTCTGGTCTCTAAATAAACCAAGAGTTGCTCTAAGAGAGGGAGCCCTACAGAAACAGCAGGGAGCCCTGTTTTCCCACATCACACCTGCAGCTCACACCACCAGTGGCATTACTTCTGCTGATCATATCTGGGGAATGCTTTAACAGGAGAGCAGCTCTGAGGTCATTAGGAATGCTGCATTGATGGGAACTGTTCCTCTGGTCAACCTGCTCCACTTAGCACTGTCTGCACCAGTTATCCTTCTCCCCAGATCCCTTCCTTTATTCCAGTCCTGCATCTTGTCCAGTGGGCAATGCCATCACCTGAGAGGAAGCTCTACTGACAATCCCAGTATTGGCTGGAATTTCCTAGAATGGGACCTTTTAATACAACGATGTCTTGTGTTAACGTTCTTCCTGAACAACAGACCTTCAGGCCAGCAGCCTTCACTCAGTCTCTCTTGAGGCAAGAGACACAGCGAAATCCATGGAAGTTCATTGGAGTGCAGGCCTGCAGGGTTTTGTCCCTCGTTGCTCGCACTGTTATTGCCAGAGGAGTTTCAGAACCACCATCCCCTGCATTGGGGATCTGCAGAGTCACAACTCTGCAGCAGGGACAGAGCAGCTCAGCAGAACAAGGCAGTGTGCAGGGCTAAGACACCAAAAGCTAAACACAGGACTTGGGCATGGGGAACAGGTTAGTTGCCAAATAGCTGTTCACTACCAATAGTAACAGAGATCCCACTTTGTGACAGAAACAAGGTGACAAAGCTCAGCTCTTTGCTTACCTCAGGCCAGAAAATAGTGCCACAGACCTTGGGAGGTCTGAATCATGCCTTGTCCATTCTTGTATGGTCCTGTAGGCTTTCTTGATCCATATGCCCTAAAGGTAAGCAAATTAATGATTTCCTTTTAGTAATAAAGAGGATTACATCTCATCAGGAACTGCAGTGCCAGAACAAGGGGGAATGGCTTCAGATTGACAGAGATCAGGTTTAGATTAGATATCAGCTAGAAATTCCTTCCTGTGAGGTGCTGAGGCACTGGCACAGGTTGCCCAGAGCAGCTGTGGTTGCTCCATCCCTGGGAGTGTTCCAGGCCAGGCTGGATGGGGCTTGGAGCAGCCTGGGCTGGTGGGAGATGTCCCTGCCCAGGGCAGGGTGGAACAAGATGAGCTTTAAGTTCCAACCCAAACCATTCTGGGATTCTATGATTCTATATAGGTGAGGAATCAGGAAATACCACTCCATCCAAAGCTTGTAAGTGTGTAAGGAACTGCTCTCTTCAGTGTAATCCCTCTGGGAAATTTAGGAGCAGGACTGAGGGAGTATTTTATTGCAAGTGGCATTTTAAGTCCTCTTGCTCTTAAACTGAGGTACAGCTGTGGTTTGAGTCCTTTGCTGTTGTGTAATCACAGGCTTTTCTTCTGCAATAGGTATGTAACACTCTTGGTGTGGTTTACCAAGCCCAGCTTCCCAACAGGAGGGATCTGCGGTCAGGGAAGTGGCCCTAGCAGGGGGAATATCCCTCGGGTGCCCATCGGAGGGGAGGTAAGTGCAGCCAGGACAAGAACAAAGCTATGGGCTGCTGCTGAAGCCAGTCAAGTGTAATAGTTACTGCTTTCCTGTGAACTCCAGGCTAGGAAGCCAAAACACTGGTGCATAATTAACATCTATGTGTTGTACAATCTACTCAATAAATAAATAACACTCTCAAATGGAGCTCGGTGAGTCCATGACCTGAGCTGTGGCTGAGGGTGCAGGTCAAGGCCTTGGAGCAGTGCTGCACAGCTCTCCTGTGGAGCAGCACATTTCAGGCTGACTCGTAAAATGCAGTGAGTTAGGGAGGCCAAAAGTTTACCAGTGCCAGCTCCTGCTCTCTGTACCCGTTTGAGCCCTGCTCACTCCATCCCCCAGACTTGATGCTAGTGCTGTGTGAGCAGAATGTGAACATGAGCCTCACGCCTGTCCTCAGAATGTTTTGGTTTCTCACAGTCTGAGGGGGAGGCACCTGTGGTACTGCTCAGCCCCTGGAAGGGCAGAGCCCTGCTCCTGCACACAGGGTGTCAGTTACAGCTGAAATGGTGCTGCAAGGCTTGGGCAGAAATCCTGTGTAAGTGAGGCTGTGAAAAGGGAGTTGCCCTGTCATTAAGTGTGTGTAAACTCTATGCAAGTATTTATGTGATCACAACTGGGCTTTTTTCCCCCAAAATTGTTTCCATATGGCCTGTTAGAAATTAGTCTTGTACTAACTGCTTTTTAGGAGTGTGTATTTACTGAATTACAACATGATTGACTTGTGATTCTACATACTTCATGGGCCCTAAAATACTCAAGATTTTTATGTGTGGTACTTAAATTAAAGTGTTCCATTTCCTTTCCTACAAAACACACTTGAATTCTGTGTTCCTCTGTGATACTGCCATAATTTTTATGCCTCCATTCCAAACCAGAATTATCCTGCCACGTGCAGGAATTATTCCTGATTTCCCTCTCTACCTCTGAGCTGAGATCTCTGTATCTGAGACAGGAGTGTGGCAGATATGCTGAGCAGAGCTCCTGAGTGTGGGAGCAGCTCTTGGTAGGGTCAGTGCTACCCAGCTGGACAAACCCAACTTCTCCAGAAGGGTCTTCTGACCATACTCAGCCACTGCTGTTTTCTTTCCAGTTGTTTTTATCATCCCTAAATGTTCTTGAGCTCCAATCACTACATACACTCAAAAATTGAAAGAAACCTCTCCTTTACTCACCCCGTGTGTGGTTTTTTTTCCAGAAGACACTTGCAGGAGCAGTGAAGGGATGCAAAGTTGTCTTCCAAGATGACTCTTATGCCCGGAGAAAATTCCGACTATGACTACAGTGCCCTGAGCTGTGCTTCAGATGCTTCCTTCAACCACACCTTCTTCCCAGAATCAGAAACCCTCAAGGGAGTCTTTTACCAAAGAGCCAGGCTAGTTCCCCCTCGGGAGGATCTCCTCAAGGCCTTTCACCCCGACGACCGGAAGCACCACATCATCATCAACGTGGGGGGCATCAAGTACCTGCTGCCCTGGACCACCCTGGATGAGTTCCCCCTGACACGCCTGGGGCAGCTGAAGTTCTGCAACAACTTCGACGACATTCTGAACATCTGTGACGATTACGATGTGACGTGCAATGAGTTCTTTTTCGACCGTAACCCGGGAGCCTTCAGGACCATCCTGACCTTCCTGCGCGTCGGGAAGCTGCGGCTCCTGCGCGAGATGTGCGCGCTGTCCTTCCAGGAGGAGCTGCTCTACTGGGGGATCGAGGAAGACAACTTGGACTGGTGTTGTAAAAGGAGATACCTGCAAAAAATGGAGGAGTTTACGGAGCTGAATGAACGGGAGGACGAACTCCTAGAAACTGAGACAACAGGTGACACAGTTGAGGAGACAAAGATCGGTTTGTGCATGAAAAAGTTGCAGGACATGGTGGAGAGGCCTCAGTCTGGGCTCCCTGGGAAGGTGTTTGCCTGTCTGTCTGTTTTGTTTGTGACTATTACAGCGGTGAACTTATCCATCAGCACAATGCCTGACCTGAGGGAGGAGGAGGAAAAGGTAAGTTAGCTTTGGGAAGAGCAGAGCAAGTACAAGGTCTGAGGATACCAATTGCAGTAGGGGTTCTGCAGCTGTCTTGAGAGGGGAAAAAAATATCACAAAGAGCACTTGAAATCTCACATGACTGCTCAGTGACTTGTAAGAGAATGAATCACATCCAGTTTTATGTCACTCTTCTGTACAGCTGTGTGTTACCTGCTTAGGCTTCGTGTTTGTGTATCTAGAGAACCCGAAATTCCCGAGCAAAACCTTCTGTGCAATAAGTAGCTCCTTTCTAAGTTTTGCATTTAACTAGTTCCAAATCGTCAATGTGTTTCCCCATAGCAACAGCTTCAGTTCCTTTAATATTTTGGGTTTAAAAAACCCACACAGAAACCTCTTCCTGTCACCACACCAACTAAAACAGTCATTACCCAGCGCCGGTTACAAACTCCTCCTCTTTCCTGCAGGGTGAGTGTTCCCAGATGTGCTACAATATTTTCATCGTGGAGTCTGTCTGTGTGGCATGGTTCTCCCTGGAGTTCCTGCTCAGGTTCATCCAGGCAAAGAGCAAGTTCGCGTTTCTGCGGAGACCCCTGACCCTGATAGACATCATCGCCATCCTGCCGTACTACATCACCCTGCTGGTGGACACCACCTCGGAGGGCCACAAAAAGTCCAGCTCCGGCAGCATCTACCTGGACAAGGTGGGGCTGGTGCTGCGGATCCTGCGCGCGCTGAGGATCCTGTACGTGATGCGGCTGGCCAGGCACTCGCTGGGGCTGCAGACGCTGGGGCTGACCGCGCGCCGCTGCACGCGCGAGTTCGGGCTGCTGCTGCTCTTCCTCTGCGTGGCCATCGCGCTCTTCGCGCCGCTGCTCTACGTCATCGAGAATGAGATGGCCGACTCGCAGGAGTTCACCAGCATCCCTGCCTGCTACTGGTGGGCTGTCATCACCATGACCACCGTGGGCTACGGAGACATGGTCCCCAGGAGCATCCCTGGGCAGGTGGTGGCCCTGAGCAGCATCCTGAGCGGCATCCTCCTCATGGCCTTTCCAGTCACCTCCATCTTCCACACCTTCTCGCGCTCCTACCTGGAGCTGAAGCAAGAACAGGAGAGAATAATGTACAGGAGAGCACAGTTCTTACTAAAAGCCAAGTCTCAGATAAGCAATGAGTCGCAGGGGAGTGAGGTTCTACTCACCACTCTCTCCTCCGAGACCAGGGACAATGAGTGAAAGTTCAGTGACTGCTTTTCCTGACTGTTTTGTTGTATCAGATTCCATCTTTTAATTTGCTTTGGAAGCATTTTACAAAGGTAACCCTCATATTAAAATGAAGGAAAGGAGCTAGAGCCAGGAACTGATGTGGTTTAAGAAGTCTGTTATTATGCTGTTCCTTCCTCCCCCCCAGTATAATGTATAGGACAGATCTTTCACTGAGATCATGCAGTGGGATTTAAGGAATTCAGAGTCCTCTGACAGCAACAACAGAAAGGAATGACATACAACTGTATGCTTGGGAGGCTGTTTTGCCATTTGTAATTCACATTCCCTGCCCGAATCACGATGTACATAGTCATTAACCAGGCTGCCATTTCCCTTTCCTCCTTGTATATAAACCGTGTAAATACAACAGAATTCACAGCTCAATTCTCTCCCAGGAAACGCCTCAGAGCATCATGGAAATAGCCACAGATGTTTGTCCCATTGTGCTTTCACACCATGTCAAGTAGGAGTCGTCACTCACACCAGAACCGTCCCTGTCCGTGCAGTCAGAGCAGAACTGAGCTGTGTATAGCATAGCCCTGCTAAAGATGTAAATACTCAGAGCTCTCCAGCTTCAAAATTCAATTGACATTACAGCACTGATCCTATGCCACCGAGTGCAGCATTCCCAGGAACAAAGCCTTTGAGTTTTGTAGCACTTAATATTATTACCCAGAGGTGACTAGCTGCAAACCCAATGAAATATGCATGAGGAGTTGCCAGCCGTTCCTACCATCTGTTCCCCTGGTTCGCTGTACCTCAGCTCGAAGAGAACTTGGGCAGGTTGCAGGAGACCCTCCAGCACTGCTGGGCAGGTCCACACTGCTCCTACCCACTCCACTTGGGCTCTTGGGTCGTGAAAGGAGTAAAAATAGTGGTCCTGGAAAGGTGACAGTGAGGGGAAAAGGTAAACACCCCGAGTCATGGAGTGAGGAGGCACTGACAGCTCTGTGCCTCACTGTCCTCCACCAGGAGGGACTCAAGGCTTAATTCATTCTACCTTTGCCTTCATTACATGGGTGGTGATAATGCAGAAAATGTTAAATAGGACATAAAAACGCAATTAAGGTCCTAAGCCACAACCATGGACTCTTCACCCACGTGTGTGTCGGTGCAGATTGTCCTGCTGGATCAGGGGCATGTGGGTCAGTGAGAGGTTTCTGTGCAGTTAATGACAGACCTTCCAGTGCTTTCAGAGGGAACAAAATTAGCACAACAGCATGAAAAACTCCAGAACTTAAAAAAAAAAAAATCCACTTGTTGGATTTTATGTGCGCTTACAGGTAAAGAAAAGCTAAAGAGTTTCTTCTTTTTTTTTCCCCCCTCTTTTGCAGTAAATTTTCTTTGGGAGGTTTAGAAGTTCTCATTGCACTGACCAATGCTGCTCTGCCATAAGTTTCAGAAATGCCATTTCTCACTGGCACACCTGGAGCAGGTTGCTGAAAGTGCCAGAATGCACAGTGGGTTTGTGATTTAAATTGAGGCCAAGGACACATTGTCCTTCCAACAGAAACAGAGTGTGTTTCTCTGTGCTGTCGGGCCAAGCCCACACTGTGCCAGTTCTCTTTTCTCATGTCTTTAAAATGAACTTGAAGATGTTCTGATATGCTTCTTCCTGAAGGATAATTCAAAACTTCGTAAAATGCACTTTACAAATAATGAGGGTTCTAGCACTCTCCAGCCTGTGGTGGGGAACATGCCTATGGAACATTCCTGCAGAGTGTTCAGATATTCAGCCTCAACTCTTGGCAATTAGTCCTGTGCCAAAGCTAGGGATGAACCAGCTTTTCACTCTTGTTCTTCAGCTTTAATTAGAGTTGGACAAAAAACAGGAACATCGTGACAAAAAGGGACACATTTTCCATTTTTTCCATTTTTTTACTTTCAGAACTGTTTGATCATCTGTAGCATTGGCTCCAGCACAAGTGCTATGCATCTTCTACCTTTGTGTCAGCGTTGGGTATAAAAAGAACTGGTAATTAGATTAGTCTTGTGAGCAACAGTTGCTTATCTAAGAATGTGTTTGACAGGCTGAGCCATAAATAAGAAGCTGTAAGTGAATATAAGGAGAAATCAAGACTTACCAAATAAAACCTGAGCTCATTTCCATGTTCTGCTAGCTAATAAATGCTGTGGGGCCATCCATTTTTTCAAGGTCTGTACATTAATGCTCATTTATTTCATGTTTCATCCCCAAACTTGATTTAAAGCCCTTGTCCAGTGGAAAAGATTGAAAATACCACCCTGAACTTGAGTGTTGGGTGAGCAAAACTGGAAACAACTGGCAAGTTCTGCCTCCGCCAGGGCCAAACAAGGTGTGGAGGATGAACCTACCCCTGTGTGATCCTGTGCTTGGCACAGATTGTTGTGAGCCTCTCCCCATGTCTTACTACAAATCACTGTAACTAACCTGGCTGTGTTGGACAGGAGGTGATGCATTCGTGGTCCTTGTGCTAAACCAACCCAGCTCAGAGCCTCAAGAGCACAGCCCTGGAGCCCTGTGCTGTGCTCTGACTCGTGCTGAAGGCTGAGGGTCTCAGAGGAGCACACCTCTCTACAGTTACTGCCTGGATTCTCAAACTCCTGACAGTTCTGCACTGGTTCCACAGCTGTCTGCAGTGGCACAGCTGAGAGCTCCCAGGTCAGCTCTCACTCCTTTTGGCATTGAACAGCATGTGCAGTCACCACGAAAGCTCCAGCAGAAGCACTTTGAGCCGTGACGGAGTCGGAAGGGTCGCTGGACCTGCCCCGATAGTGGTGCATGTCTGCAGCAGCAATAGGCTTGCATTGCTATGGCATTACCCTCTGTATGCTCAGTACCATGTACAGTATGAACTCCCACAGCAGGAGCTGTATGACTTTTGATTAATAAAGTGTTAGGCTCTCCTTTCATTCTCATGTGCTTCTTTCGGGACACGGAGCTGTCACACGAGCTGGCACAGGACAAGAGGGCACAGACTCAGCTCTGCCAGGAGAGTGTTAGGTTGGATATTAGGAAGAGATTTTTTTACAGAGAGAGTGATCAGGCATTGGAATGTGCTGCCCAGGGAGGTGGTGGATTCACCATCCCTGGAGGTTTTCAAGCTGAGACTGGATGTGGCACTCAGTGCCATGGTCTAGTAACCACGGTAGGGTTGGATTGATGATCTTGGAGGTCTCTCCCAACCAGGTTGATTCTGTGATTCTATGATTCTATGTCTGAGGCGAGCAGGGAACTGGGCTCCAGGCTCTGCTGGCTGCAGGGGTTTGGCTGTGCCACAAAGCCTTTACTGGGAAAGGAAATGACCTCCCTGTAGAAAAATCCAGGGACCAAGGGTATAGAGGAAAACCTCTTTGTTGAACGTTGTCCCAGGAAGCTAATTGGGACACAACTTTTAAATATTTTAACCATTTAACCCAGGAGCCTCAGAGATTCAGAAGAGAACAGGATCTGTGAAGACTGAGAATGAAAAACCCCTGATGGAAGCAGAATTTTCAGGTAAGGAGGTGCATTAAATTACTTCTCCGAAATCTTTCCGCCCTCCTCCTGCCTCAGAAACAACACGAGTCCCTGGGTGGGTGATAAACGAAGGCAGAGCCACTCAGCTTCTCTAATGCCACATCACAGGGCATCATCTGTGGGGTGAGCTGGCATAACTTGTCTTACACTAACACTCAGCACAGGTCAAGGGCTCAGAAATTATCTCTGTGGGGAATACACAGAATTTGTCTCCATTTGACCCTTTCTCTTTTTCCCACTAATTCAGTGCTGCAATCTCCACAGTCAGAGGCCTTGGGAGTGTCACTGAATAGTCAGAGGCTTTAGCAGTGTCCAATTAAACAATGTGAAAATCAGCCAGAACTGATTCATGGATTTACACATCATCAGACACATGTCTGGGAGGGAAACTTGGTGTGCTCCATACATTCATGGCATGCGTGGGAAGTTTGACTGGGGGTTCAGCCTGATGCAAAAGCAACATTTTTTGCTGTGGAAGGTTCTCATTCCTAATGCTAGAGCTCAACTCTGGACAAATCCCTGGAGGGAGTTTTTTCAACTTTTTTTTCATCCTTTTTTTCATCCCTGGAGGTATCCAAGGAACGGCTGGACTCAGTGCCCTGGTCTAGCTGACAAGGTGGTGATGGCTCACAGGTTGGACTCGATGGTCTTGGGGGTCTTTTCCCACCAAAGGGACTCTGTGATTCCATGACAGGTGCAGTTAAATGTTTGCACATTACTGACAGGCAAAGCCCAAGGGCAAGTGTTCCCTGTCAGTCCCTCAGGGCTGATATCGGCGGTGTTTCTGACTGCACTGGGACAGGGACAGCCCTCAGAACGCAGCCCTAGCCCCAGAGGGTGGTCAGTGCTGCCACAAGGGTCAGGAATCACCGAGGAACTGTAAATCCAAGCCGTGACTCAGTGTCTGAGGAAGAGAACAGGCTCCCACCCGTGCGGGCAGGGAATGTGCCCCATCCAAGGATCTTACATTGCCATCTACGGGCTGCTCCCGGCACAGCCCTAAGCACCCACCGGCAGCAGCCAAGGCTAAAGGATGTGTAAAACACTTCGGGAAATCCTTTACGAGATACAGAGGAAAATATTCAGTGTGTCGCACTGCACACGTGGCCCTCGTCTGCCAGAGCAGGACGGGAGCTCTGCAAGGAAAGGAGGATGAAGATCCCATCACCATCACTCCTGGGAAGTGTGAAGCACAGACTGACACTACAGAAATGCTCCTAAAAATATTTAAGCAGCATTTTTTTTTTGGTCTGGAATACTGGCAAGTGACTTTTTCAAAAGGCTAATGCAACTCGGATTCAAATGAACAACCTTCAGGGTCACATGGGGCAATGCAAACACCTCCATCACTGCACAGAGCAGCCTGGGGAGGGAACAGCTGAGATGTGACTTACAAAGGAAATTACAGAATCTACTCCAAAGGGGAAGAAGCCAATCATCCAGTTAGCTGTACCTGTGCAATTGTCAGTGTTCAAGGAGCTCTGACATGCCTCACCCAACCCCTCACTGCCAATCCTCCAGGCCCAGCACTCCTGGTGCTGTGGGAGCAGCAAATGTGGTTTGACTAAAAGCAAGAATAGGATATTTCCTGGGCCAGTTCCCCCTGCAGTCACCCAGATGCACCTGCCAGTGCCAGCCAAAGGGCAGTGAGGTGCCAGGGCTGCTAAAGAGTTACTTGGAGAGTCCCTTCCAACCCAAACCATCCTGTGATTCCATGATTCCTTTCACCACCCCTGAGCAGCTCAATGCCCATTTGCCTAAGCGACTTCATTTCCCAATCGAGTATCCAAGGAGCCATTTTAAATTTGGAAATAACCTTTCCTTGCAGCAGGGATTTGGTCTCCCTGGCAACAGCACGAACACCTTGTGAACCAACTACAGCAGGGCCCGTGCCAAGGTCAGGGAGAACAGGAACAGCAGGAACATCCACCTGCCAGGTCCTGCCTCCAGGGACCTGTGGTGAAGGGTCAGGTCAGCAAGGCCTGCAGGCAACACCCACAGCAGGGCCCTGGCCAGGAAGGACAACAGCTGAAGCCAAGCACAGTGTGTTACAGCCTGGACTCCTCAGTCTGAGGGTTCCAGATGGTTCTGGTTGCAGCTGTAGCCTGGCTCTGCCTTTCAGTAGATACCATAATGTTAATGATCCCTAATGCAGGCTTGGAGCAGCTTCTTCTCTGCCTGGAAAACCTGTACCAGAGTAGGACTAGGCTGAGCTGTTATCAATTTTCTTTTCTGCTAAGATTTACATGGCAGCTCTTGTTTTGGAGGGAATCTGCTTTTTGTTCTAAGCAGGAAATAGGAGAATTGCAAGTGCTTCACACTCCAAAGAACAAGAGGTCAGAGCAGCACCATCACACAGATCTATTTCAGTTGGCTTTGGCAACCAGCTGAATCAGTCATCTGAAGAATATCGTGAGGACAAGCTCAGATGAACCCCCTCAATGACAAAAGACTGGAGAATGGGCAAACAGAGGTTCTCCTCTCCTGTGGTGAGACCAGAGCTCTGCTGCTGTATGCAGAGCACAGAGTGTGCAGTGTATGGCACAACACAGATCATAATGTACTTGTGCTCTCAGCGACCAAGCTTGGCCACTGCTTCGCTCAGAGCTGATGCAATACCCCCCTGCCTTGTCCAAGGCACAGAATCCATGGATTTTAGCTATCAGAACTGTTCTAGAACAATGTGCTTATTAAACTGCTTCCTTGGAGTCTGCTCACTGGGGTAAGATTTCGACACAACACACACAACAGAGACTGGGGGAAAAGTGCCTTGCCCAGGGGGAGGACAGCCAAAACTTAGCAGAAACTGCATTTCCTCTGTCTTTTGCCTTATTTGTGAGATCATTAGTCCTCTGGATAACTGAGTTATTTGAGGGGAAAGCTCTGGGAAACCTTTCTGTCCCCTTCACAGCCAGGAGTTCTCATCAGCTCCTGCCCTGTATTTATTGCCCCAAAGGCTCTGGAGCTGCAGTGCCAGGTGAGCACTAGGGCTGTGGACATAACCGAGACACAAGGTTAACACCACAAACCAATGTGCGTGTGTGTGTTCTCCTGTCACTTGCATTACTAATTATGCTCCAAATTTTGCTACTCCAAGTCATGTTAATATTCATCTCCATTTTACTTATTTCCCTGATCCTTTTTCCACAGTAATTGTTCAAGGCATTTGTACAAGGGAAGCTCAGCCCCAGCTAAGCCTGAACTGCAGCCTGGGGAATGCTGAGGTTTATGAACTTGCAGTGCCACCTAGCAAACAGCCTTCCCAGGCTTTGCTGTAGTTTCACAAAGAGCAGCTCAAAGCTTTTGTATCTGAACAACAGACAAACTTGTGCTGGCAGCATTTTAGGCATCTAGTGCATATGAACTGTTTTTATTAGAGATTATGCTTACAAAGAGATAAGAGTAGCAAAGCTGCTCACACACCTACAACTGTGGGGTATGAACTCTGAGAATGAGTTTTGGCTACATCCCTTATATCTCTGCCTAAAAACACTTCCATTCATTTGGGAGCGATTGTTTTCAAATCCTACACTCTGACAGCAGGTCAGAGCCTTGAGGTGAGAGAGACTCCAGCCACCAAAACAAGGAGGGTTTTAGCTTATCAAGACACATTGGTACATACAGAGTCATCAGGTTTTAGAGCTTCTTTTAGAATATTTAAGTAGAGTTTCTCCTGGTGAGTAGAGAAACCACTATGTGTTTTAGAGAGTTCAAGAATTAAAGCAAGCCCAAACAGAAGATAAGTTTCCACTGAGAAGATGAGCAGAACAACTGGGGAGGCACAACTGCCTCAGTGGGAGAAAACTTGGGAAATAGGTGTTTGGCCTTCCACAAGGGAGGATAAATATCTATTTTTTCCTCTCTCACCTCATCATCTCTCCATCTCTGAAATGTTCTATGCACTGACAAAATCATTTTGTCTCTGAAATGTTCTATGCACTGACAAAAGCATTTTCTGCCAGTTTTACAAACTTTCTGGGGTCAAACGTATGTCTCAGTAACAGTTAACCTCAGTGTCTCTATTCAAGTGGGATAATGCACTTGTCTGCCAGCCAACAACTGAGAAGGGACGTGCTCAGCAAAACACCCTTGCTGCAGGTGCTATTCTCTCCCATAAACACAGAGCTTCCACAGAGAACTGAGATGTTGTGCTGGTTTGAGCTGAAGTAGAGTTAACTTTCTTCACAGTGGCTAGTATGGGGCTACTTCAGCTCAAACCAGCACAGATGTTGAGCACAATGGTCTCATCAGCAATTCCCTAGCACAGCTTAACAGTGCTACAGAGCAGTGAGAGTAACAGGTTTCTTCTTTAATTGTTTCAATTTGTAAAGCAGTTTGGAGAAAAGATGATTTCTGTGCTTTGTCATTCTCCAGGCTGTAATTACTAATTAGGAGCCATTCTCAAAAATGACATGCACAATTCAGCAGTAGCACCAAGTTTTTACTATTAAATTATAACACATTTCTCTGTTTCCATGGACAGTTTCATGTCTTTATAAAAATAATTGGACAGCTACAAAATCAGTGGTTTTTGTTAAAAAAATCCAAGTAACATAAAAAAGCAACATGTGTTTCTGTCTGGTTTTGCCACATGCTAATGTCATTACACAGAGAAGATGGAACCCTATGGAACTTAGTATGGAACTCTGTGGGGTTTCCCCATTTAAATTTCTAATACTGAGGAAAGGTTGGGTCAATTTTAGTGGCCCAAGCCATGAGCCCTCCCTTGATATCCTTAGCTACCACAGAACCACACTCTATGGCAGGCAACTCCTGCAGGATTTTTACAGCCTTCTGGGAATCATTTCCTAACTTGCAAACAACATATACAGGAAGAGATGTTTGGTTGCTAGTTCTCTGCTTTTCTTCACAAATTCTCTTCTCTAAACGCTGCAGGGACTCTTCATCCCTATCCTCCAGCCTGCTGAGGGGGATGTGGACGGCGTGTCCCAGGCGACAGATATCCACCTCCACCTGCGGCCGCACGTCCAGCAGCACGTGGGGCACCCGCTCGTCCAGCAGCGCTTTGTACTGCTCCACGGAGATCCTGTCCGCGCCGGGCAGCAGCTGCAAAGTCCTGCACTTGTCGGTGGCAGAAGAACCACAAAAGGCCTCGTAATCCTGCAGGCAGGTGACGGAGGGATCGTCACCACACACGGCACAGTCGGCTCTCTTCGGCCGCAGCTTGATGTCGCGAAATCTGCCCTCGAGCGCGTCGAACAGCAGCATGCGGCGGCCGAAGGAGGAGCCCATCCCCG